CATCCCCCCCCTCCCCTCCCCCCCCCCGCCCCCCCCCCGCCCGGCGCGGCGACCGCCACCCGCGCCTCTTGACGCCATCGGAACGAGCCCCGCTACTAATAGCACTAGAGCCCGCGCTGCTGCTGAAGCTGTTGCCTCGTCTTCTTCGGGAGAAGAATCGCCGCGACATCCCGCAGGCGGGGATGGCCAGGGCGAAGCACACCACGTACAGGAATGTGGCGAGGAGAGTGGGACCCTTGAAGTCGGCGGCGGCGGTGCCGCCCTTCCGGGAGAAGGCGGCGGTCGACAACACCACCGCGGTCACTTCCGCTCCCTGGCGTGGGGAGTGTTTTTGGGGTGTAGCGCGGGAGAGAACGGGCCAAGGGTTGTTTTTATGCTTTCATGGAATCCTAATTTTTTTCTTAGTACCACAATGAAAAAAAAATCTTTATCCATAGATAAGGGTTTTCGTAACAGAACAATCGACGCTCACGACAGCGCAATCGGCCGAGCAAGTGCTATCTACAGGACCAAGACAAGGGGCTACCTGTGTGGCATTTCACCATTAGTCTACATGTAAATAGCATTCGCCCTAAGAAACGCCGTGGGACTCCCCCTGTGAGTCCTGCCGCTCGGACGCACTTGCGCAAGCACAAAATACTATCATCATCTCTTTTGCGCACATTCGCGGCGGAACCAAAACCATGATGAGATGCCGGTCGTGCTCTACCAAACCAAACATGTTAAAGAAACATTTATTTTCCACCAGTCAGTGCGCCTCGTCAACATTGCGCTAGATGCGTCAGTCCGAACAGTCTCCACCTAAACTACAGCTCCTCCCCGTTCGACACGCCGACGTTCGCGGAAGGTAGCAAAACTGCTGTTCGTGTAAACCCGAACCCTAACCCTACAACGCTGACGCAAGCGTTCAAACGTTAACCCAATAGTTTCACCACCCCGCAGGCTTCAACGTCAACACACGTAAACACAAAACGACAACAACACCGCTGTGCGAAGCCGTACGTACGCACCCTTGAGAAGTCGATGAGTCCCGTTATCGTGCCCGAGTGGAGCCGAGATGATGGTTCGTTCCACGCCGACAGCAGCCTTCTGCCCGTCTCCTCTGGCGCGTCGCTATCGACCACCACGGAGACCTGCCCGTGCCACGGTAAATTCCCGCGGAAAAAACACCGGAAAATATGGAACGAGGATCGGCGCGCGGATGGTTAGCCATTCCGCCTAAGAATTACGATCTAGTGTAAATGGATACTCATGGGTGTGTTGTTGTGTTGAGGTTCTTGGGTGTTGTTAAATTTTCAGTTTTCGGGAAGCAATGCTAAAGCCTCGCACGTGAAATGAGGCCGCTCTCTCTGTCAAGGCGGTTGCAATGCTTCACGAGTGCTTATGGGAATGTGCTCCTACGTTCAAGCGCAACTTGATCAAGTAGCACAACAAAGTTTAAAGGCAAGAAACAAACAAGCAAACCAAAATGCGTTAGTCGAGCAATTGGCCCCTCTTCCTCGAACGTACGTGGGTGCCAGCAGCGTATCAGTAATAAAACCGATATCTGCCAACTCTACCGACTAAACACTGAGATCAGGTTACCCCGCATATTTACCAACTCTACGGCAACGCAGGTTACCCCACATGTATAAACTCTATACGGCGATTCTGGTTACCCCGCATGTTTACCAAATGTACGACGATTCAGGATACCCTGCACACCCCAGCTCTAAATCCAGGTTAACCCCGCAAATCTACCGACTCTACGGCAACGCAGTTTAGGCCTCGCTTATACCACCCCCCCCCCAGCGCATGAAAAAACGGCGCGTGCACTACCCTAGACCACCAAGACTCACGTTCAACGCCCCCGTTCCCCACTGCTCCCAAGCCCCCCAGTCCACGAGCGTCTCCCCGGCCGGAGTAACGCCTCCCACTTCGACCACGTTCATCGAAACCCCGAGCGCCTGGCCCACGTCTGATCGCAGAAGGGCCGAAAACGCCGACCCTTGCTCATCCAACGCCGCTATGCTAGAAGACGGGATGGTATCCCCGTTCTCGGCGTTTCCGTCAGGCGGTAGCACCCGCGGCTGTGGGGAGGGGAGGGGGGGGGAATGCTTAGTAAATGTGAACACAAAAAATCGCAAGGGTTTGCGTACACTTTGTAGGGCGATTAACCCACGTCAGAGCTGCGTATGGCTACAAGTTGACACCTTGACGGTCACACCCGGTCGCACGAAGGGTGCGGGTTTTCAGCGTCGAAACAAAACAAAGAGCAGCTCCCAGCTTCAGCCAAATCGCACATACCTGCGGCCATTGTTTGAGTTCGGCTCCTCTAACACTCGGATACAGTGCTACCAAGGTGCGACGGAGATTAATCGCACTCAGGGGCCTGGTAACACAACCTCACCGCGCTTTCCAACCCGGAAAAACTGCATGCGTACCACACAGCAGTGTCGCTGACGAGCACACTTTTTCCGAGACCACCCACACACGAAAACCCTACCAGAACAAAGCCGAATTTTTCAATTTTCACTCGCGCTCCTCCTGAGTCTGTCTTGAGAAGAACGCTAGGAAACCTTGGTTTGCCGTCTCTCTCTCTCTGCCGATACATGAATCCTGCCCACATCAGAGCGCAATTTCAGGATACTAGGAACACTGGGCGTGAAAATTAAGCACCATGCTGGCACGACCCCAACCTGTGCCGTGTTCGAAGGAGAGGTCAGTATCTACGAAAGCGAGGTCAGGATCAAGGTCAACATGTCCGAAAAAAAGTCGTTCTGGTCAATGGGACCACCGCTGCTGTAGAATGTGCACGTGCGGCAAATACACCAGAACTGCTGCTGCTGCCCCGTTCGCTTCACGTCGAACAAGGACCACGGCAGCAGCAGAATGCGCGGCTTACCGTTCTGATGGCGAGGACGAACTCAGGGTCTCGGAACGACCCAGGTCGAAGGAGAAACTGTATCCCCACTCCGCACCCGTTGCACTTCTTCCGCGGCGACAGAAAACGCAGAGGAGGGTCGAGGGGTAAAACAAAGAGATACATCTTGAGAGAGCGAGAGAGAGAGAAAGAGAAAGAGAAAGAGAGAGTAGCGTTCCACTCGAAAAAAGAAGAATCGCCGAGCATTGAGCCTCATCGAAGTTGTTGTTGGCGCCGAAGGACCAATGAATGTGTAGCCTTCGAGACGCTGGTTTCGGGCTAGCAATAAGTCGAAGGCAAGCACCGCAGGGTGGGGAGGAGTGGAGGGAGAGGAACCCTTTCGTGTCATGTCACCACGGATTGGAGCTATCATAGAACACCTCCTACCCGCCAGAAATGCTGTGAGTTGTGAGCTCAATATAACATGATGAACAGAAACAGAACAAAAACAAATACAGGCGGCTGGCTCCCTTGCTTCCACCTCGCTCATCTCTGCCGACAGCGGGGCCACGCAGGAGAGAAAAAAGCACCGCCCCTCTAATGCCCCCCTCCCTCCCCCCCAGCGACCCTTGGAGAAGTGGCTCCAAGGGGGTGGGGTATCTTGTGTCATGTCACCCACGGGAGTTTTGAGGAGGATATTCCTCGCGGCAGGCGGTCCTGCCCA